TTGTCATCTTTGCCCTTCAGTTTTTGTTTGAATGAAACAAACCAGATTTGCTTGTTGATTGCTGGTTACAATAATGTCATTTATTCAGTAACAAGTAATAAAAAAATATTGGTAGAGGTGCTGGAGGTGTGAGGAGGTGGTTAGATGACACTTTCTCATTCCAGGTCGTCAAATAGTGACTCGGCTTTGTCACGCCCCTCAGCGTCATATATAGAAGCACATTGTACTCTTTAGCATCTGCCTGCGATTACTTTTTAACACTTTGTCAGGAAGATTTAGCCAACAAAAGTACTGTTTGTTTAGGAAAAGATGATGTTAGATAAAGTTAAATGAAGCATGTTACATGATGTAAGTCACATGATCTGCATGTCACATTGTCATTGTTGGGGCAACAAGACTTGGTTTCACACAGGACACAAACCTGCACTCGTCTGGACGAAAGTCCTGCGTGGGTTTGACCAATCCATCCCAACCCCTTCCTGACACACATTTTGTTGCTCTTTACACTATGTCACCAGACATGGATGGGTTACATTGGAGTTAGCTATACGGGGATGGGCGGCCAGGCATGTCCTGGATGACCTCTGTGCCACCCCTTCATAATGATGAATGTAATTTGTTGTCATTAGAAGTTGCTTTCCATTTGTCTCGTGAACTCAGAACCCGAGTTGGAAAGTGTAAATCTCGCAGCTATCTCGCAAGATTTCACAGAGACACACCCCCTTTTGGTCGGAATTTCAGCCGTCCAGCTCGGTGCTCCTCACAGTGTACCGAGCTAAACGGGGGGGCACGTACGACCTGCAAAACAAAGATGGCAGCGCCCATATTAAGATGTATTTTCTTTGTATTTGTACTATGTTGGTCGTTTTAATGTCGATTTTAAATGCTCCTACACACTTGTTTACATTGCTGCTTTAGTCCTGTCACCAATTTATGCATTGCACGGTGTTGCTGTGCGTACAATACAATGTAAAGTTTTGTTTTTGAGCTGGTTTGCTAAATAGGCTAATGTAGCTAACAATAACAGTAGCCTGCCACTGCCCCTGATAGGCGAAAATGGCAAAATATTATTGAAATGTAAGACTTGCAATAACGGAATTACTTGAAATGTTAGTGTTTCTGTAGAAAAACTTATTATTATTTCACATTAAGCTTGTTTAGATGAGCCACAAGCAATAACATGACAGCTGCTGCACTTCTTTCCGACTCGTAATGCCCAAAGACAAACTGGAACGCTATCAGTGGTACAAGCCAGGCAATGACGTCACGTTCTCGTGGCAGAACAACTCGGGTTCCGAGTTCATGAGACAAAGGGAAAGCAGCAATAGTAAACCAGTATTTTCCAATAAGGACCCTCTATAGCAGTGGGAGGGTGTAGGCAGCTGAATTTATTTGTGTCATAATGGTGTTATTGCTCCATAACAGACTGTATGTCAAATCTGTGGCACTGAATTGATTTTGTGTCATGTCAGAATTATTCTAGGGCTCACTGCGTTAATTGAACCACTTCCTTTATTAGGTTTTTGTTGTTTGTTTATTTGTTTGGTCTCGTGAAGAGGCATAACTTCCTTCCTGTTTCTTAAATCCTATTAATAGCCAAAATTGCTGCATATTACTTGTTATGTGGCATCAAATAAAAAATAAATAAATAAAATATGCTCAGAATGATCTTTCAGATGTTACCTATAGGCAACATATGCAGTAGGCCTGAATTTGACAGCACAATTTAAAGTAGGCCTAATGTCTTATTTTGTAAAGTTTCGACAGACTCAAGCTGTCTGTTTCCAGTCTTTACACTATGCTAAACTAATCTGGCTCCTGCTACCAAGGTCGCCACTTTTTCTCAAAAAGTGTTGGGGACATAAGGGCTCAGATAAAAAAATCATTTTTAAGAGGTCACAACAGTCTTCCACATGCAATTTTAAGCAATGTAAATGGGGTACAGTATGAGGTTGGAGTAGATTATTATGGTGGGTCGGGAAAATTTTTACAAAGGGCATAGCCTTGGCTTGCTGCTTATGGCCTTAACCATACTCAGCATAAAACGCAAAATGCAGGGTTGAGTACCAAACGTGGTACTTTTGCTGTAAGGGTACCAACCAAATTATGACGGCACTACCGAGAATAACAATTTGCATTAAATCAGTCTGTATAAAATGTCTGAGAGCGAGACTGGTTGAGAAAGTAAGTTCTGTGTGAGTAGTGAGAGACAGAGATTAAGAGAGTGAGACTTTATGTCGCCTCTGCTGCCTGTTAAAGTCATAGTTAGACTCTCATGCAGCATGTCCATTTCTTTATGCCAGGACAAACTAATTTATAACTGATAATAGCACGAAAAAAAGTCATCTTATTATGTAAAGTACCTTAATTCAAATAATATGCAATGATCTCAATGTGTTTGCAAACTTTTGGGTATTTTTGATACAAACATTTTTAACAAATTCTGCTTTTTAAAACTGATGGGGACAAAATCGTCCATTTCAAAGTGGTGGGCACATGTCTCCAGTGCCCCTTTTGTAAATGACACCTATACCTGCTACATATTTTATTATACAGACATCACAGCGGTATCAATCTTCTTATCTAATTTTGGCAAGTGAAAAAGTGTCTCCCAAAATGTCTATTCCTAACTATTCCTTCAATGCATATTCTCACTCATTGTTGTCTCATAATCTACAAAATTACATACATAAATCTACATAAAGAAAATATTCAGAAAGATTGTTGCAGTAATAATAAAGAATGTCTTTACGAGTTTCTCAACTGACAAAGTTTTTTCAGTGTTATCTTCAAGGTTTTTCCCAATGACCTAGCTGGTTCACTCTACTACAAGAGCACTTGTCTATTAACAGAAAAAAACAGCGGATGTAATGAAACTGTGGGGGCAAGATCAGCACTGAATTGGGTTAAATAATTTAGTTGATGGAAAAGATAATTAATGGGGAAGGAGTCAATAGCCAGTGTGGACGATAAAAGCGTGTGTGTGTGTGTGTGTGTGTGTGTGTGTGTGTGTGTGTGTGTGTGTGTGTGTGTGTGTGTGTGTGTGTGTGTGTGTAATGGAGAGGGGCACAGGTGGAGGGGAGAAGATCTCATCTAAAGGCTATGAAAGATTTAACAGCAGGAGAAGACAGGAATGACAATGTCTGTGAAGGCAGGCAACAAACCAAGTCCCCCAATTATATCTGGCATTTAAATGTCTGTCCTCTTTATTCTGCACTTTATGCACATCCCATCAAATCAATGAAATAGGGAATAACTATTTTTATGGACTTGATCTGTCACAAAAAAAGATCTACAATATAATAATGTGTGTATTTGGTAAGTCTATTAAAACAAAGCAGTATGAAAACAATCTAATTCTGTACTAAACTACTACTTAACCATAGTTGTTATTATGTTAGTAGGGGTAAAGCTCCAGTCAACCACTGCAATAAACCTAGCTTTAATTCTCTGTAGCAGGCCCCATGATGTTGTAGTCAGTCACACTGTAGGTAGCATTGTTGCATTGCGACGGATAGCGGGAAAGCCAACAAGGGCCAGCTGCACTGATTGGTGTAGCGTGAATTTACAGATTAAGTTTTCATATGGCAACAGTAGGGTTAGCAAGAAAAAGTGATGAGGACTACAGGAAACTAGGCACTTTAAAAAGAAAACAATTCCACACAAAACAGGGAGCGGAGAGCTCTGGAGGCCCAATGGTTAAGACTTACACAACCTAACAACAACCTCCAGGGTTCAATTCAAGCTGGGGATTTAAGTTATATGTCATACATTTCCTGTCTATCGCTTCATCATCAATTATCAAAATTGTGCCAATCTTGCATGTTCACATAATAATGAACTTGAAACTGGGCATTTTTTAGATAGGATTAGTGACAATGGTTTTAAATGCAAACCATTGAGCTGTCCCCTGTTGAATTCATATTGTCTCTGTTTTATTTACAGTCTTTTCAGATGTAGATTCACTAAAGCATATCAGTAAACAGTAGCCTGGCTGGATGATGGTCTGCTCAGCAGCATAATGCTGTCAGTTCTTGTACCATGTAAATTATGTGTAGAAGAAACACTGTTGTACCATCAAACACTCAGCCTAGTTTGACTTGCCTTGTAACAATGCAAAGCATGATTTTTCTTCTTCTCTGGTAATCCCCAGGACGTCACTCTTCTGTTCTGCAGCACACATGTCAGAGTCAGGGCTCCTCACTAGAGTGAGGGCTTAGTACTTCAAGCTTGTCATGGATCTCCAGATGGAAGCATTCAAGGCTTTTTCCAGACATTTGTACTTGTTTATTTATTAGAGTTAAAGCCAGAGTTCCTCAGAGGACAGTAGCCAGCTGTTGCATTTTGGCTTTGTTCCACCGAGACGTGGAGGATTGTTATCCTCTTGATCGCTTGGCTGTCACTCTCTCTCTCTTTCTCTCTCTCTCTCTCTCTCTCTCTCTCTCTCTCTCTCTCTCTCTCTCTGTCCTTCTCCCTTTGTTTGCAAGTTTGCGTTATTTTTATTTTATCCTGGCTTTATTTCTTATTTGTCCACCAAAGTAAATCAAAAACAAGTTTAACAAAGTTATTTTAACCCAAATTAGAATCTTTCCCCAACTTTTTTTTGTTTTTTTTGTCTAAACCTGAACCAAACTTAATTATTTTGGTGTAAGATTAATGGTTTTATTTTTGCAATTTTGGAGTTCTATAATCATTTTGAAAATATCAGTTTAGAAAACATTTATATATATTTTTATATATATGTTTAATTTAACTTGTTGTGAATTTATGTTTCACTAGCTTGCATTATAAAAGTGTTCCTGTTGTTGTCTCCCCTGCTTGGTGTGCCACAGAGTGATAGTGGTTCAAACTCTCCACATGAGTGCACACAAGATTTTCACCAATTTTGTTTGGTTAACATTTGCTGACTGGAGATTGTTTAAAAAGGCAGAGCTCTCAGATCACATTATCAGAGGGAGACTTCATACAAACACGCCCACCTAACACCCAGACACACTCACCTGTCCGTTCTTCTTCAGGTCAGCCCACATGCTCGTCCCATCACCTCCTCTCATCAGGACATGGTAGGTGAAGTAGTAGATGCCAGGCAGAGGGCAGGTGAACTTGCCGGTACTCGGCTCATAGTAGTTCCCTACGTTGGTCACCACGTCATCAAACTTCAGTATTTCACTCCCTTCATGTTGCTTCCGGAGGCCTGCATAGAAGGCAATTTTGGGACTGTAGAAGGATTGGCCGTAGCCACCAGGTCCAGGCCCTGGTGGACCAGGTGGGCCGGGCTTGCCAGGCTCTCCGGGGGGCCCTTTAGGACCTGGAGGACCAGGAAGTCCAGGGGTCCCTCTAAAGCCCTGTTTGCCCCTGCGGTTTGGGAAGTCTGGGGGCTGAGGGGAGACAGCTGTCAGCTCTCCTTGTGGGGGGGTGAAAGTGTCACACACCATCTTGCAGCTCCCAAGCATTTCATAATGCGTGCCCCCTCCTCCGGACCCTCCCCCCTTGGTGGTGTGGACCAATAGGGGAATGGCCACCAGCAGGACCAGAACCATGGCCACGCCGACTCCAGCCCCGATGACACGTTTCTTGCGACTGAGCCGGGAGGCGGCCAGCGTGAGGAAGTCCTCCTCCCCCTTAGCTGGAATGGTTGTGCCGGCCAGGCTGAACTCTGGGTAGAAAGTAGCTACTGGATCAAGAAGATGGAGGAGGAAAATATGTGATTGTGTGGGCCAAAGAAAAGAAATTGGGGGCTATTCTAGGAGAGGGACCGACAAGTCTCAGACAGGAGGAAATCAGAAGTCGGGGGGAGAATGACAAATAGGTTTTTCCATTTCTTGGTGTTCAGTAGATTTGTTTTGTATCCTTTTATTTTTCAGTTTCCCCTGGTTCACAATGTCTGAGATCTTTCAACCTTTCTAAAGAGTATACATCATTTTTCAAGAGAAAAATAACAGAAATATTTTAAATGTCTTTCTCAAAAAGGAGCATCACTGTTGAGATGTTGGATTTTAGGAAAGTTTCTTTTTTTTTTAATCCAGCTCTGTGGTTGTGGAGGCTCCAGTGAAAAGCTTTCAGTTGCTCAGGCAGAGAGCTGTCAGGTGGGGTCTACAGTATTCCCACTGGAGTTCATCTCACCCACCACATACGGGGAAGGGCGCTTTACTAGTCTGTCCAGGAATGAGAGGAGAAGAATGAGGAAACTGCTAAATCTCTGCGCTCGTCCTGTCTCCCTATGTTTTTGTTGATGGGCTCACACCTTTCTCTCCTGTTTTAGGGCCCTGAATTAGATTTATCTCTGTAGTCTACTCCTCTATTCAAAGTACAGGTTTATTACAGGTCATAAAAAGGATAATTCTGAGGAAAGGGCAGGCCAAATTGCATTGAATGTGTAAACTTTTGTTTTAAAGGCAGCTTTGACGAAGCAGAGAACATTTTGTCACAGCGTCACAAATCACTGAATCTCTTGCAATCTAGAAGAAAAAGAAGAGACACACACGTATAATGAAATAAGCAGTCATGGGCTAAGAAAACTCAATCCTGTTGCTATAACACATTAACTTTTAACATGAAATGTAGAAAGAAATTCAACAAACAAAGCACTTCATTTGTTTGAATTTATATTCAGCAATTTAAAATAACGAAAAAATGTGTTACAGGACTACAGAGAGGTTGGTAATAATGGATTACTGTAAGTCTATTTAAACATTTTTGTTAATAATTGTTGTTTTAATAATCAAACAAATTGGGTTCAAAGCTACATATAGACGTTATTACAGGCCTAAATGCATTATGGTATAAACTCAGTTTCTTTTAACAACAAAAATACTCTAATTTTAATATTATTAATTCCCTTTATTTAAAGCTTACACTTACATTTGAATGCACATTCAGATGTATTCAGAGTAAAAGGAAATTGTGATTTCACCAGCAAACTTTTGACAAAATCAACACAAAAGAAACAGATCAGCTTACCTGGTTTTTCTTTCCTTCTTTCTTTTCTACCCGGTTCTCAGTGGTTTTTCATCCTGCCGGTTCAGATGGAAACGCCGCAGGAAAACTGGTCCAGGACGCAATGAAATCCTTACAACACTGACTTTGACCGTCGCGTCGGGGTGAAGTTGCGCTGTGGTGCCAAAACTCAAAGTCACACTAATATTTAAACTTGCAGTAAGCATCTCATCCAGGACTCGCTCATGGTGTCCGGACCGCACCTTCCACAGTGCTGAAGGCAGTCCGAGCAGACACGGAGGAAATTTGAAGAAAAAAAAAAGAGTAACAATAATACAATTAGAAGTTGCGCTCCCTGAAATAAATTCACATATTCTGACGAGTGACTTTAACAGACTTTCGCCGTGCAGAAATCCCGACTTTATTTGGAGAGCAACAGTTCACTCACTTGTTGTATTTTCCGTCCTGCTTCTCTCCTCAGCATCTGCCTACTACTGCTCCCCCGCCCTCCCTCCGTAACACACACACACACACACACACACACACACACACACACACACACACACACACCGATTCACCGTCCCATCCTGCATGTGACCTTTTCACAAATCAAATGACTACATCTGTTTAATAGTTTAATCAAAGGTTGTCTTTTTCCGTTCAAATATTAAAGATTTATTTGCGCTACTGTTAGAATAAACGATGTGATAATACTTACAGAGTGAGGGTGTTCTCTGTCGGGTTTACAGCGTCCTTATTTGTCATTAAATGAACCTACAGTTGGCTAATATAGGGATCAAGTTGTGTATTATTTCTTTTCTTGTATAAATGCATGTTGGGTTTGCCTTCTCAGTGCCTCACGGGGCGTGCTCCAGCAGCGCATCACAGTAATAATAGTATAAGTGTACTATAACCTTGCTTGGCCAAATGAAGAGTTTCCACGCATGATTAAGATGAGCTGCTTGTGGAGCTGTGTGTTTGTGGAGAACAGCAGGTGTGCAGAGACTCAAGTGTGAGTACAAAGCGTGGGTTACACCGATGTGAGAGTGACACACATCACGCAGGATGGCGAAGTGGAAAGGATAAGGTGAAAGGAGGAGAGTGGTGTTCTTAGGGTTGCTGTCAATGTCTGTGTTTCTGCAGCTTTCAGACCTTGTTAGAGATGAAAGATGTATCACTGTTGACAACCCCCTCCTCCTCCTCCTCCTCCATCTCCTCCTGGTCTCTTTCCTTTCTCTCTCCCAGACTTTACATTCATTCATAAATTAATTAATTCTCAAATTGTTTTTATGTCATTATTTTTGGGAGTGCTAATGCCTGTTATAGAGCAGGGGTTCCTCTGAAATGGTTGAATTTTTCATCTTTCTGTCACACCACACTCAATTGTATCAGACCTGGCCACAGAAACACATCTGTCCTGAAATGCAGCATTGCTATCATTTATTATGCCTAAAGAAATGTTAGTCTGGGGTATTTACACAAGAAACAGGTGAGTAAACCATTTAGGCACCCAACAGGCTTCTAATGCACAAGTGTACTTGTATGTACTGTCAGTTCTGCTCCCTATTTATTCATCTCCCAACTTTACTGAGCAGGAGAGTGTAGCAGATATTGAATATGGATCAATAGATCACTCCCCAGAATGCATACTGTCAGCCGACTGAGCCCTCAGGCAGATGCCAAGCCTCTAGTCACATTTGCATTTGGAGATAGAAAATAACTACTGCTTGTCAGAAAGTGGGAAACTGTGTGGTCTCTACATTTTACAGAATTGGCACGTCAAACGCGTAGAGGCTAAAGACTTTTCTGCATTTGTGAATATGTGCTTTTATAGTATACTCTCTGCTTATATCCACTTCTTGTTCTTTGTGTTCACGCCCAGCTGTATGTGCCTTTATGGCATGCATGTGAGTGCCTACATGCATACATAAGTGTGCACATAGACATATGATTTACATGTGGGCTCTGACACACTGGTGACACACTCAGAGGCTCCCTGCATTTAAATTATTATTGCCAGGAAGGGAAGACAATTTAGAGAGAATGAGGTTTTTAGAGCCCTATGAAATATTAACTAAGCCGATGAATATATAAGCTGTGAAGCAATAATATCTGTCTCTGACTCCATTTCCTCATGATATATGATATCTATACATTCTTGTCTGTACTATATCATCCTCTTCTAAGCTGAATTAACAATTAACAAAATATTACATCATAATGGACGTTACCATCGTTATGTTTCCTTTCTTGTCCTTGACTCTAATATCCGTCCTTCTCTGACCTTCAGGTGTCTGAGCTGTGGAGATATGATTAATATAAAGGTCTTACAGCAACAACAGACTAGAAGATCTGAAGACTTGATGGTTACAGGGTTAACTCTCAGGTGGGACATTGCTGCTGTTGTTCACGCAAAGGTCTGCTGACCGACCCAACAAAAACAAGAGAAAAACTGAAGTCAAACGCTGGAGGACATGATATCTTTTTTAAATAGAAGATGTTTTTTTCCAGATGAGTAAAACATTTTATTTGTCATTAAAATCACAAGAGTGGCCTTGAAGTCAAGTCAAGTCTTACACAGCCCAAACCTCTTTAGCAGGAAAATTAAGGAAGAAACCTTAGGAAGAGCAACAGAGGAGAGATCCTTCTTCCACGACAGGCAATTTGCAATATGCACTAAATGTAGTAGAGTTCACAGAAAAATATAAATACATTAAAAAATAAAGAGACAATATTGGGTAAATAAAGTGCAAACATACAGTATATGTGGAATACGGATGAGATAATGAATTGAGCAACTTGAGGGTGCTGTTAAACACTTGGTGCGCAAAACCTTCTGTGAACCATGAAGACCACAGACCACACATTGCTCTTGTATTCACAACAGACCAACACAAGCATACCATTCACACAGGGGGGTGGGAGACACAATATTTATATATTTATGCATTTAGGAAGCTATGTTTATTACAATACAAGGAACTCAAAACACACTGTGATTAATTAATTAATAAAAGAGTTATTATTAGTTATTTCGAGAACATGATTATTGTAAGGACCTCCTCTGTTAGAAAAGTGATAGCTTCTGTTATGATTTGGCACTATACAAAATTTAATTGATTTATTATAATAACAATTATAATCATTGTATGTAATGTTTGATCCTCTTGTGACATGGTCTTCAGTGAATTAACAGAATATTGCAGTTTGAACTCAGGTCTCTGCAGGCCAATAGACTACTGTGTTACTCTGGATTTACAGTCATTAAAAACAGGTTCAATGTGTTGGAATGAGTTATTCCTGCTGATACACATTGGTTTTCCAGACAGCAGCACGATGAGATAGATAAGGCTGGACAGAGGCGATTTACCAGCAGGACAGTCACTCTCTCTTTTTAGAACAATCAGTAAAACCAATCAGGGCATGAGCAGAGAGTCAGCATGTGATCAGAGAGGTTACCATGGTATTAACTAGCTCATTCAAGGTGGAGGTGCTATCAACACAGCAAGTCACAAATACAAGCCAAGTAAGTGGCTGTGGAAAGGGCTTAACCTGACCTGCAATCTCACAGGTCAGAGAGTGAGAAACAGAGAATGAGAGCCTGAGAAGGACAGGGAATGGAGAGGCAGCGAGGGTAATGGAAATGTTGGGGTCAAAGCATCACATTGGCTATATAGTAACAGGGATTGTTTAGTGTGAGCACATCTACCCATTGGAAAGTGTCATTTAAATGTTTCTGCATTGCAGGGAGAGACTATGCTCACCAGAAGTTTTTTTCTTAAAATATGACCTATTTTTAGGTTCACCAATTTTTAAGGACCTCTTGTGGCTCTGCAAATTATAACTCCTGTGTGTCAGAAAAAAGGCAGAACTAAAGTTAGATTGTTATAACACTGTAAAATCTTTTACAGTAAAGACATACTGCAGCTTGTTTATCAGTGACTAGTAGCTTAGTTCCAGCCATTAGTCGACTATTCGTTGAACGTTTATGACATGATGATAGATGATTATTTAACAGCCGCCTGTTAAATGATAACAGCAAATGATTCTCAGTTTGTGAGAACAACCAAAAAGGAGACTGAACGTTTAGTTAATTTATTTCAACACCAAGTTCAATGTCACACAAGTCTCGTTGTTCAAAACATGGAATAAATAACTTCCAACTTCACAAAAACAAAGACTCACAGACGTATAGTTAAGATGTATGATGAATAACATTTCTTACAAATTAACATGCTACAAACTCCCTCATCTCCCGCTTCACGCCTCTTCTGTCCCCACCTGAACCCGCTGTGTGTCTTCGTTGTCCCCGGAGTCATAGCCCTGGTCGGAGCCACTGTTAATCACCTGGCCACCAACAGAGTTAGACACTATGTTCGGTCCCGGCAGCTAGGGGGCTGCTGAGCCTGGCATTGTTGCCCGCTCACCCCAGTCTGGCTATGGTGCTCATTTCACCATAGACCAGACAAGATTTAGATAAACTCATTCATGCTTTCATTTTGGCATTTTGAGAATCCTCACCTCCTCACCCCCTTAAAGGTCCGGTTTAGTATTAGGAGTTTGGTTTAAGGTTAAGGTTCAGGACAGCTTAGGCCAGGAGATTGAATGCTTCTGTTGATATTCCTTGTAAGTGCAGGAAAAAAAGTGTGTGTGTGGATGAACGCCCCTCCTCTCGTACATCTACCTCTGTCTGTGTGCAGATCTGATTATGGTCCTTGATTGCGAGTGACAGTGTGCAGATTGAGTTGCACAGCCTCTCTAATTCTCTCTATTAATGAGTTGCGCTCCACACTGCTGCCCCGGACCCCATCTATTAATCACAATTTGTCATCTGTCTTGTGCTCTCCATACCCACCCTCCCCTCTCCCCTTCTCTCCACCCCCTCCTTCCCTCCAAACCACACTATCCCTCCTCTACCTGTCCCTTACCTCCCAGCTGCTGATTCCATCTCATCACTTTATCTCCTCCTGACTTACTTCTCCAAAGATTCTCCGCACAACACTCGTCTCTCAATTCGCTGTCTTTCTGTGTGTTGTCCTGTGCTCTGCACCTGTTCCCTTTCCTGACGTTTTTATTTGCAAAAGCCCTTGCACTCCTTTTTTTCCCCCTCTTGCACTGGTGTCTTGCTCTCCTTCCATGGCATGGTCAGCATACTGAGTGGGTTTTCCCCCTGAAATCCACATTTTAATTCTGCCAGCACTCCAAGGTTAAGTAAGCCCCCTCAAATCGGTAAATAATGATTTATCACTCCAATTCATATCCGTATTGGTATCTGTAATTAGATATTTTGCTATAGACATATTTGACAAAATTAAAAAATATTTAAAAACATCTTATTTAAAAGTCATCTCTCACTTCCTTCCACTCCCTTTGCTTAAGATTCCTCCATTATGTTTGTGATTGTAAAAGCTTTCAAACGTTTAAATGGTGCTAGATCTGAGAGCATGACTAAGACAGTGTGTGAAAACTAGCGGTTTCAGTACAGAAACAGTGACATGTTAGGAG